ACCACCACGATTTAATGATAATGCTGTTGAAGCTATTTGTATAATACGCGCTGTTATTATTTCACGATCCTAAATGAAAATAAACAATCATATCTAATCGTTTGAACTCAAAAGAATAAAAAAAAAATGAAAAAACCTCGGATTTAAATCCGAGTGTTATGTGTACTTCAAAAAGTGAACAGGTATATTCACTTTGTTTTTTATCATCTGAGACATATCTAGGCAATTTGCTTTCTGGATGCAGTTTTTGTGCATTTTGAGACCTTTTTCAGGCGATGTTTTGTTAGAAAGCTACGATTTGGTTCAAAACTAATATCAGATTCGGAATCAGCGTTAAAAACTAAGTCGATTTATATATGTTGTGAATAATTCTGAGAAAAAAAGTTTTTTTTGAAAAATCCCTGTACCCCCCCTCAGGGATGGTCTGGCCAATAATGACAATTTTTTCGATAACTCAGCCATTTCTTGACGGATCCTTCTCATCTTCGAACTCGACTGAGACATTGATGAGACTGAACTGTGTAGAAAATTTCATCACGATCTGACTCTCCTTTCGAAAGTTATCGTGTAAACGGCCGGCCGGACGGACACTGACCGATTCTATAGTGTACTCACTTTTTGAGTACACAAAAAACTATTAAAATCTATAGAATGGGATTTGCTATCAGTAACTGGAGCCCATTGGATTGAACTCCGTGTTTCTTGTACGAACATCGTCAAGATGCTCTGAGAAATGGTTTGGGTTTGTTAGTTACTGAATCTACATAAGCGAAAAAGTATATCGTATTGGCAGAGCAATTTTAGAGACGCATTAAAAATTTTTGTTCAAAATATTATGAATGAAGATCGCGTCTGGTTCAAAAATCTTGAACCCGATTGGACTCTACTCTTTAAGACATACTTTATATAATTGTGCAAGTTCATGTTCTAATTTTTCTTTTTCGACTGAATTATCTTTTGCAGCAGCTAAACGACGACTAACAATTGAAATACGAACATCTTGAGTAGGAACAGCATCACGCTATCATTAAAAAAAATTCAATAGAAAACAGATTAGAAACACAATTTAAAGTGTTCTTATTTTATCATACTCGAAGTGCAGCATTATGTTTCTTTAATAAATTACGAATAGGTTTATATATTTGTTTTGTTGCACCTTGAAATTCACTAACATTATGATTTTTACCTAAATTCTACAAAAAAATAAAAATAAAAGAATTTTATTTTTCACAAAAAAAAAAAAACTTATTTATCTCGTACAAGATCACCATATTGCATAACATGACTTGTATTTGTATTTTTTTGTGTAACTAAAAATTGTTGATATAAAGTTTCTACATCAATTTGTTCAACATCAGAATCTTCCATCCAAACAACTGAATAAACATCTCCTAAATATGTTCGTCGTTTATCATCATAATAACAAGCATATGATGATTCTTCAGCATTTGATGCTGTTGTTGCATATATATTTATATTATTTGGTAGAAGATTTTCAAGCATTGAACCTGATTCACATGCTTCAATATAAATAACCATCTTTAATTATGAACAAATAAATAAAAAAAAAAAAAATTTAAAACAAGAAAAAAAAAAGAAAATTTTACTGACTTGTTTGTATTTCTTTTGGGTATACATTTTAGTTATTGTTTCATTCAATTCTTTGGCATGAAGCTATGAATAACAATAAAAAGCTTTTTTCTTCTTCAAAGACATATGAATACTTACAACACCATGTGGAAATGCAACCAAGCCTATATAAAAGAAAAGAAAAATCCATTTCATTAGACGTTTTTTTTTTTTCATAGAAAAATAAAATTTCACTTACCAACGGCACCATGATCAGTAAAATAGATGAAGACATTATCATCGGGACCACTAAAATAGAAATAGAAATTTTAAATTTCATTTTTAAAATTTAGTTGAAAATAAATTATGTGATTAGAATTTCTATCAAAAATTGTTCGGTATATTTTGAATCATCATATATTGCTGATATATCAATGCTAGAAGCGTTCCCACTCTGTCTACAGACTTGACCAAAGAATTGAACTGTCTTACAACTTTTCTCTTGTTATCTGTGTACGAAAATTAATTCGCTCATTGAATTAACTTTTTAATTACCTTTCTAAAACTTTACCACTACCAACACCTTTCAAAGCTTCTTTATTACCAAGTAAAACATGTATAAAATTTTTTGGTGTTACTTCCTATTTAAATATGAAATTATAGAATAAAATATAAGAAAAAGAAAAATACATTCATTATACCAAATGAGTGTAATCATGAGGTACACCATGATAAACATCGGCTCCATTCGGATGATTGATAACAATACCTTTAGTTGGATTTCTGAAAACCAAAAAAATTATTATTATTCTTTTTTTAAGACAAAAATGATTCGACTTACTCAATATTTCGAGCTAAATCATCATACATCATAACAATAATATTTGAATCCGGAATACCATTTTTATGTAAAATTTGATAAGCATGACAAACATCAGCTTGATGTCGATAATTATACCAACCATTAGAACCAGCAACAAGTACTGCCCAATTAGCTGCCCAAGTACAATTAATACTGAATAGAATAAAACTTGCTATGAAAACTATGAGTTGCCGATACATTTCACAGGTGTATGAAAGAAGATAAAAAATAAAATAAAAGAATTGAATGACAATAAAAAAAAAGTGAAATAGACAACAGTTTAAATTTATCTAACTCATTTTAGATGATAATACAAATATAAAACTTTTTGTTATCATTAATATGAAAACATTTATGAATCTTTCATTGTTAAACGAGATATCACATCTTATCTATGATAATAATATTCAGTAAATAATGTATATGAAATCATGTGACATATATATAAAGTCATTCAAAAATAATATTAATTTAACAAATGAAATCTTCTAACTAATAAGTTTGAATATAAGATTTTAATAGAGATAAAAAGTTTTAATTAGTATTTCATTCTATATTCATCAAATATAGAATACAAATTATATTCTAAGACAATAATCTATATTAATTATTTTATTTATTAAGATGAAAAAAAAAAAAATATCTTTAAAATTAATTTCTATTTCATTATTAGTTAAAATTTTGTTTATTATTTATTTATATTTCTATTAAATAATTTTCATAAATTTTATTTTTAAACAAAAATAAACAGTCAATTAACGTCGTATTGGTTGTTTGCGACCAACAACTCGAATAAGACTTGCATTTGTTATACCATATCGTCGTAATTTTCCTTGAGGTGTTTCATGTAAATTTTGTCCTTTAAACATAATACGTTGTACATGTGTTGGAATATTTAATTGTTTTTCTATATGTTGTTGAAGTTCTTCAACTGTTGGATCACTTGAATTAGTCGGTAAAATCATTTCATTTATATCACCTCCATATTGAATTTGAAGTTTGAGAAAATGCATTTTAAAATTTCTAATCTTAAAAAAAAAATCATTTTAATCAAAGGATATGTACATGAATGATTTCTAATGTCAAATTTTTCATTTTTTTTCATAATAGAGAATGGTGAACTCACAATTGAAAAATGTATTTTTTTACTTCAATTTCTTCTTTCTATCGCTCAATTGACCTTGAAGACTTTACACTTTTTCGTGAAAAATAATATAAAACTACGTATTTGTATAACTCACTGTAATAAAATAATATTATAGAAGCCATAGTAGAGCAATACCTTTTTGTTTTACATAATAAATATTACTATGTTATAAAATAAAACTTTATAATATATACATCGCAAAAAATGTCTATTAAAAGTTTAGCAATTTTTTTTTAACTGGATCTATTCGAGTCATGCATTTTACTAACGAGGGAACATTCCCAAGTGATACCCGCTGTTTCAGCTCATATTGTGCCCAAAAGTAGATCTCGGTAAGACTAGAGAAAGTCTAAAAGGGTTCGTGCCATTGCGCCTTTGGAGCCAAGTTATGCCTAATTTACTGAATTTTCGGCTCTTTTTGGGGTACTGATCGAAAAATCAAATTACGAAGTTTTCATCTGAAATTTCTAACATAGATAGATATAGTTATACCTAGAATATCCTGAAAGTTTCAGCCGAATAGAATGTTCCTTTGTAGAGATATTGGATCTCCAAAAAATAGTCATTTGCGACAGATATTTCACAAAAGTCGAGTTTAATTGAAAATGCAATAACTCGACAAAGGAACATTCTATTCGGCTGAAACTTCCAGGATATTCTAGGTGTAACTATATCTATCTATGTTAGAAATTTCAGATGAAAACTTCGTAATTTGATTTTTCGATCAGTACCCCAAAAAGGGCCGAAAATTCAGTAAATTAGGCATAACTCGGCTCCAAAGGCGCAATGGCAAGAACCCTTTTAGACTTTCTCTAGTCTTACCGAGATCTACTTTTGGGCACAATATGAGCTGAAACGGCGGGTATCACTTGGGAATGTTCCCTCGTAAGATAATCATAGTGTATTAAAGATCTGTGTAGTTCATATATTTTCTATTCCGGTTAACTTAGTAATAATTTTTTTTTGCCATCAAACAATATAGTCAATATTACAGTTTTGATTTTATAATGTGTATTTCATTGAATAAAAACTTTAGTAAATAACATATTATTTATATTCTACATTCCATTTAACATACCTACCGTACAGTATAGTTACCCACATATTCTTATGTTTCTACTAACCTTGTCTATTTGCTTATGTTGCTATTCTTATTTTACTCGTTTAAATGAAATTATTCTATGATTTTTATTTCTTGTATAAAACAGCAAACGTCTACAAATGTATGCACATATGTGTGTGGTTGTATGTCACCATTGACATTATTAAAAAGAAATGTCTTTTAATTTTATTTACAATTTGACTTCAACACATTAAAAGAGAAATAAAAAACAAAAAGAAAGAAGAACAGAAAAAGAAAAGCAAAGAAAAATATATTTAAATTAACTTGCATAGAACAAAATAAATAAATAAATAAAAGATTTATAAAACAAATGGTGGTGTTTTATCTTCACTTTTTGATATGGTTGCTAATTGAGCAATACGATCACGTCGTTCAATTTGATGAAAATCAATATCTGTATATATAACAGTTGATGATCGTTCAGTTTTTTCTTCATTTAAATTATTTATTTGATCTATATTTTGATCTAATGTATTTAAATCTTGTTGTTGTGGTTCATCATCAATATTTGTTGATGGTAAAGCTAAATCAGTATAATTAATTGTTTTTTCTGATGTTAATAAAGGTTTTGTTAAAATAGTTATGAGATTAGGTAATGGATTATTATTTATAGATAATGGTTCAACAAATGCATATGAATCATTTGTTGGTAGTTTTTCTTCATTTATATTTGTTAAATGTGTACGTGATATTGATGTTGGTAAATTATATGATGAAACACGTGATAAATCTGTTTGACTTTGTTCATCCGATATTGGTAATGATAATGGTGGTGATCCAAGTAAATATGTTGTTGTTTGATCTGTTAAATTATCATCAAAAACTATAATACTACCATGTGATGCACATATATGACCTGATGTATTATCACCAATATTATTTGTTGAAAGTGATAATGTACGAAATATATGTGAACTTGATGATGATGATAATATATTATCAAATGAATAAATATTTGATGCTTGTTGTTGATGAGATAATGACATAAGACTAAGATCAGAATTAAGTCGACGATTAATATTTGATACATCAGATAATGGACTTGATGGACGTTCATTTGAATCATTTGTTAATGGAATTTTATTTAATGTTACTATACCATATGAAAGAAATAATGATTGTTGAGAATTAGAATTTGATGTTGGTTGATGAAAAGAACTATAAAAAATAAAATTATTAGATTAATTAATAAATTAAAATTTATTAATCTAACCTTGTATTATTTGATACACATGATAACATATTAGATTCATTTGCTAAAGAAAATAATTTTTTTAATAAAAAATATTCTTAAATTATGAAATTAGTCTAATTTACAGATTTTTATTTGATCATAAAATATCTATACTAACTTTCATATATATATAGTTTATCATTACGAGAAATTGATGCAATCATTGCAAAAAATTCTTTTATTCTCATAGTTTGATTTCTGAAATTGAGCATGTTGAACTCTGATTACAAGAAGTAACTAGCATTCGTATGAGTGAGCTAAAATGTCAATATAGAAAACCGAGTTTATGATGTTAAAAGCTATTTTAAACGTTCTATTTTAATTAGAAACTATTTCAGTCAAGGAAATAGTAGAGAAGAATTTTCAAAAATACTCCAAGGGTAATTTATTCTTTAACGTTTTATTGAAATTCTAAATAGATTTTTATTGTGCTTAATAAATTTAATGTGTGTATTTAATGATATTTACTATAATTATTATTATTTGTTTGTCCATGTAATTGTGCTTTGAAAGGTTGCATAACACTAGCTGGAGAAGTAAAAGAACGTTGACCAATTGGAAAAACAGTTCTTTCTACAAAAAATTCAAAAAAATAAATAAATTTTTTAATTAAATTTATTTTTTGTTCTACCTTCAGCAATCAAATGAACTGAATTACCAACAATAATAGCTGAACGAACATGTGGTGGTACACTGATCATAGCTAAAAAAAAATATTCAACAATAGAAATTCTAATATTTAATCTATTGCGATGGTAAATGTTTTGTTTTTCTTCTTTTTAAATACTTCTAACTTACTATTAACACCAATATCTGTAGATGTTGTTGTTTCTTTTATTGGTTTATCATCATGTATTTCTTCTGATTGATTTTGATCTACTTTTTGAACAATTGGAACCATATCAATATATGTTCCATTCGTTGTTTCATGTTTATTTGTAGATGATATAAATGAAATTTTATCTTTTTTATTGTTTATTAATTCAGATGAATTGATTACACTTTGAGATTTTGGTAAAATATATTGTTGTTGTTCATGAGAATTTTGTTTTTCTTCAATATTTAATTCAAAAAATTTATTCATTGATGAAGATAATATTTTTGATTGTTCATTTAAATGAGTTTGATTATTATCAATTGGATATGATCGTTGTAATTGTGTAGTATTTTTAACTAATTTACGAAACCAACCAAATACTGAACGTGTTTTTATTTGATTTGATTTCGTTGAATTTTCTGGTAAACATTCAGTTGAATGACTTTTTAAAAATGGTAATGAATTATCAACAATTGATTGATTTGTTGTATCATGATTAAGTTGTATAGGTGGATGAATATTTTTCAATTTTTCTATTCTTTTATTAGTTAATAATTGATTTTGAAATGCTGATGTAAATATTAATGGTCGTTCTTCAATAACTGGACTAACAAGTAAATGTATTGTACTTGCTAATGATGATGATTGACATTTCATATGTATTTCACCATTACCATAATTTGATTTACCTAATTCTATTAGAAATATATTCGAACGATTTCCATAATGATTTATTGTAAAATAAGGTATACATAAAATATCTTGATTCTTTAATGGACATTGATTTGTAATAGTAGTTTTTAAATCATCTTGATTACAATCAATAGAAGCAATATAAAGATCTGTTGTTGTAAAATAAAGACGAACATGACCAATTAAAATATGATTAGAAGATATAATTGTTTCATATGGAATTAATTTAGCATCAAATGTATGTAAAACATTTTCAGTAGTTGATAAACATGGTAATTCCTGAGATGTTTGTGATTTATTAATTTCAATTGTTTTTTCATTTCTTTTCTGACACATATATTCAAGATGTTTAATAATATGAGATTTTTTATGTAAATTTTCATCAGAAAAATATATTGATACTGTATAAGTTTCAAAATAAATATAAATAAATGCTTTAAAATCATTTATAATTGGTTCAAAAGATTCAAATGATATACAATCATTTAATAATATTGTTGAAGTTTTTGTTTTACCAATTATTTCTATACATGGTTGTTCATTTGATGATGATAATGGAGAACTTTCAACAAATGTTAAATAAATATGACGATTAGTTCTCTAAAAATATAAAATATGATATTGAACACTATTTATCATATCATTCTGAAATTTCTAGTTCATCAAATAAATTTTGAAATTTTCCTGGCAGATAGATCTTGACTAATAGAACAAAAAATTGTCATTTCGGATGTTGTCATCTATGAGATATTGCGATCATAATGACCTCAATTTTCGCGTCGATTACTTCGAGATACTATAGTCAATCGCGCTGAAAATTTTTTACAGACACTAAATATTGTTTGGGCTAGATGTCTCATTCTTTTTTTGGCCTTCAAATAAAAGAGACACTCTAAAAAAAAAACGCATTGTTTTGTTTGAATAGGGCAATCAAAAAATTTACAAATATCTATTCTAAACAGTGTATAAGTATAATGTGAAAAAAGGTTTCAGTTTGTTTAGACTTCCCGAAGAAATGGACACGTTTCTTCATTTTTTTATGAATAAAACAATTTATTTGAGAAAAACACGATTTGCTATTTTCGTTACGTAGAATTGTTTTTGGAATGTTTAGAAACAATATTTGAATTACAAAATGTATTCACTAGATCGATACTACGTCAAACTATAGAATGCTCACAAAAAATCAAAAATCTTATGTAACAAAAGGTGGAAAGTTATTCGTAACTTTTTAAATAGTCGAGATTTCTCTATTGACGAAACTCCAACTATTGAGCCTACTAAAGTATTAAATCGAGATGTTTTTTCCAAATATCGTGTAAAAACTTTAATAAGCAGCAAAGTCGAAAAAAAAATAAAGTTTCTTTTCATTATTCCTTTGTACAAATTATATTAGAGTCCTGCATTGGACTCCGGGTTTATATAAATTATAGAAACTTCAAAAATCTTATTTCATCTTTTTCTGATGTAGTATTTATTTTTGACAATTGTATCATTTTGTAAATAAAACCTATCAATCCATTAGCCAAATAACAAAAAATAGATCAAATCCAATTTCATATCACAATTTTATTTTCATTATTATCGCATAATCTTCAATTATATAATGTCGCTAATTTACGAAAAAACAAAATTTCAGATTGATTATAGAGGTAACAGCAGCATTTTTCATAACAACTTTTAACCCATTTTTTTGTGATCACGTTCAAAATTTAAGGTAGAACCTATATAGAAGCTAGTACCAATTTTGGCTCTACTTTCAACGTATTACGCTTCTGAGTTGATCATCCTACTAGTGCGTAATATCTTCATATTAGAACTAATAGTCAGTCGAAAAGAATTCCGTGGCTAGTTTTTTTTATTCTTATCAATAGAATATAGAAACTTATAACTTCTGTTATGACTATATAACGATATATTATCTTTCAATATTATGTATTTGTTTAAAGAATTTAATCATAACAAGAAGACTTCTATTTTCATATAAATAACATAACAACGTAACAAGAGAAAGTCGTAAAAAAAAATCAAATTAATTATAAATACAATGTCCATGTCATACAAGAAAAAAATGCGTTATTTTTAATTCATTTTTCATCTTTACAATAAAATGACGTCGTTCAAATTCAACTATATCAGTATCTCAATTAGCATTTGTTTAATCTATTTTTCGTGGTTGACTAAACATTAATTCTACTCAATAACTATCAGACCGTGAAGAGTTAATCAAAAAAAATACAAAAAAAAAAGAAAGATATATATAATGAGATATTGTCATCTATTTGATTTGATCATTATAACTAATTTTACAATCGTTCGATACTGTAAAACTGTCAGAAATATATATACACAAAAGCAAACAAGATTTAATTGGTATATATGTTTATTCAGATTCGTTTTTTTATTGTGATAAATTATAATGTATTCTTTATTTTTTTTTTCTTTGCTTGAATAAATCGACCGTGAATGATTAAACTAATCGAATTAGTTTATGTTTTTTTTTTTTCTTTATGTAAGGAATAATTATCAAATATGATTCATCATTCATATTATTTACTAAATAATCTGACAGACGAAATACCATAGTCAACTGACTCTTGACTCAGATTTATCTTCATCAAAAACAAATATTAATACACTTAAAAAATGAAAACAAAACAAAACAAAAAAACAAACCTTTTTTTTATGTAAACAAATAATGTTAATATCACATAATGTTAATGGTTCATTTGTTGTACCATTTAATTGTGTTGTACCATCAATAATATATGATGGTTGAAAATTATTATTATTATTATTTTCTGGTTGTTGTAATGCTAAAGACATATTTCATAATTTCTAGAACGGACAAAAGAACAAAAAAAAAAAATACATTTAATTTCATCTATTCTGACGTGTGTTATTTTCTTTTCGTTTTCGTGCTTCTTAAATATGCACAAGCACCAGAACAGATATCTGAATGAAAAATAGAGACACACGTAATCACGTACAAACAAACAGACAAACAAACAAAAAAATATAAATAGTTAAATTTGTATATATTAATGCTAATAGAATTAAACATCATTTTCACCAACTGAATGTCCACCTGTTATCATATCAAATTCATTTGGATGTTCAGATGTATCACCATTATCATATGACGTAAAATTTTGTTGATGTTGTTGTTGAAGTATATGTTGTAATTGTGGATGTTGTTGTTGTTGTTGTTGAATAGAAGTTGATGAAAAAAGAGGTTGATAATCATGTGGTGTTAAGGGTGTTTGAGGCGTTTCAGGAGGTGATGTACTTGTTGATGTTTGATGTTTATAAATAGCCATTTCTGCTTGATAAACATGTTTTTTTTCTGATGCTGCTTGTTCATATTTATTTTTTAATTCAATTGGAGCATTTTTCCATCGAATACCAAGTTCTCGTGCTACATCACTTACAGACATACCTATATATGAAAAATTACGTCTATATATATATATATATGTGTATAATATGAATAAGGATTGAATGATTTTTATTACGTAGCTATATAATATGAAAAGAAAAATATGTACTTAAATGAAAATCTATTTATTAGTGTAGATTTTTTTGATATTGTAATTAGGTACAAATTATGTTTAAAGGTCATTATTAAAAGTACCCTTTTATCTATCTGTATCTTAATTTAAAAAAAAAATTCTCTAATAGCAGATGATAAACTCCACTTATTTGTGTGAGCTATGACAGAATGACAGTAATGTGATGACTCTATAAAAGCTTCAATGCCTACACATTAATTTCAGTCTACTACATAATAAAAATGAATTGAATATAGTTTTTTTTTTCTAATTGACAATTAAAAGTTCTATTTTTATTATTTTTTTTTTTTTGTTAAGATTTCTACTAACCATTTATGTTATTTTCTCTTCGTTGTCTCTCCTTCTAAGCCTCAGGGAATATTCTTAAGAGACTTTCATACTCAGCAATCTGTTAAACAAACAAATAATTAGTGCAAAGCAAAGTCGAACTCGATATGTAGACTTAGAAAAACAATTATATATTATTAGTATGACGATGTTTTAATATATTTTAATTAATTAATGTAAAAGTCTATTCTTTTTCTGATTGTAATAAACAATATCTTATTCAATTTATGAATTTTTGCATAATAAAAAAAGACAGACATATATTTTCATCTTTTTTTCTTATTTTTTTGTTAAAATTTGCAAATAGATTATTTATATGCTAAATTTAATTTTACAGCTACAAGTAGATCAAAACAAAATGTGAACTTCTATGAATTCATTTATAAATTTATTATAAACTATCTAAAAATAGATTTCAATCTTTGAATAAATCGACTTCAATGTTACCCTAAAAATTATTCATCATCTACTGTTGTTTGACTTGAAATATTATAATGCAAATATGGTAATGTTATTTTTACAATTCATCAAAAGTATTGACATAAACAACTTTCTGATAAATTATCTAAGTTTTATTCTTTTCATGAAAAAGAAAAGATTCTAATTAGTTTATTAAAATTACATTACATGCATTTGAACTATAATATAATTATGTATTATATAATCAGCATGAAAAGATATGAAACTGAAAAAAAATTTAACCTTCGAAGTACGTTGTTGAACACAACAGTTATTAATTAAAAAATGTTCTTTGATCTTATATATACAACGTTAAACATAATAAAAAAAAAACCCTCTGACTTGATAAAGACTAATTCATTTTAGCTTTATATTATGAAGAGGATTATTCGATTGAAATTTCAAGATTTAATCTTTGCATAGAGAATTAAAAAAAAAACAGTGCATACTGATCTTAATAGATCTTACTAAATGAAATTAATTTTTAATTTTTTTTGTTTTAATATTCAAATGATGTCTTTTTTTTTGTCTTCTCTTTAATTAAAGAACATTTTTTTTACCTGTCTGTGAACCATGAACTTTTGGTCGTTCATCAGCACAAAAAAGAAAATATGCTGATAAAGGTTTCTTCGGCGCATGTGGATCTTTTGGTTTTCTTTCACGTTTTTTTGCTGGTTTTTTTGGTACAGTAAGAATTGTTGTTGTGGCTGTTTGTTGTGTTTGTGTTGGTATAATTAATGTATGTTGTTGTGGTTCGACAAGATATTGTGTTGATGGTGTTTGAAGTAATATTGATGATGTTGCAGATTGTTGTTGTTGTTGTTGTTGTTTAGCTGATTGTTCTTGTAAATATGTTGCCATTTCTTCTTTATATCGTTTACGTTGTAAATCCGCTGTATCATTAAAACGTTTTTTTTCACTATCATTCATAACTTTCCAACGTTCTGAACATTTCTTTGCAATAACATTATAATCAACTGTTAATTGAGGATATTTACGACGTAATTCATCACGACATGTACGAACAAATAAAGCATAAGCTGTTACTGGTCCACGAGGTTTATTAGCATCCAAAGGTTTTTTAGGCATTATGATTGAAATAAATTAAATATTTACCTTTGAATAATTTATATAACAATGTGAGATCAAAGGTAAATAAAGAATAAGAATAATTATAAGGATGGATGATTTTCTTATTTTTTTTCTCTCTCTCTCTCGTTTAAAAGGAAAGGTAGAAAAAAAAACAATAAACATCATCATCAACCATTTACAGAAAAAAAAAAAGAGAATCATTAGTGCAATTGTGAGAATGTGCTACAATCAATGTCAAATGTAGATTTGACAGGAGGATTGATGGTAAGTTTTTATTGGTTCATTTTTCGATGAATTAATGACTATGTTTTTCATGAATCAATTAGTGTGAGCGAAAGAATTGTGTTTTCTCAAGTTCTCAGCAATCATCTCGCACGATTTACTCAAGTTTTATACAACGAAAACTTTTGATTGTTAACGAAAAGGTAAGTGATTATTAAATCAATAATATCTTGAATTATTCGTGATGCATTATTGTATAGAAGAAAATTAGCCTAGTTTTCTTTCTTTTATTTATTTGGGAATGAACAAAAAAGAAAAAAAGATTTGATACTTTTCTGATTTTCAAGAAAAATTTAAACTCGAAATGGTTTAATTCGAATTTCATATTGTAATTTTTTTTTTATCAATTTGACAAAAATAAAGTTTGCTAATCTTTTTTTTTTGTTTTAGAATCGAAATTAGTTTCTAAAATGTCAACTTCACCAACACGTAGTCAATCAGAAACTTTCTCTGAACCATCGGCTATTCCAACATCAACATCAATGTCTGAATATCCTGATCGTCCTCTTCTATTTAAAAATGATGATGATACAAGTTCAATGATATCACATGTTGATGAAAACAATGAAAATGAAGCTGTATGAAAGATTTTCTTTTTTATTTATGATCAGAACAAAAATTTGCTCGGGCTTTTTTTTTTCTCATCGAAATAATAGCTTTAGTTTAAGATAGAAAAATCAAAAACTGAAATTATTTAGGTTGCACCATTAGTTTCTTCAATTGTCGGAGATCAAACTGATCATAAAACAACGTAAATATCATTGATTAATTTTATATATTAATTAAGAGACTATTTTTATTATTTAGGAACTTAGAAACATTAATGCATTTAATTAAAGGTAATATTGGGGCCGGTATTCTTGCTTTTCCATATGCATTATCAAAAGCTGGAATCCTTGTATGTAAATTTTCTATATATTTTTTTCTTATTTAATTGTTTTGTTTTCTGTTTATTATTTTAGTTTGGTCCTATTGCTTTTTGGATAATGGGTATAATGACACTTTATTGTATGCATCAACTTCTTCGATGTCATGATTATTATCGATATATGTTAGTTAATAAAAATATATAAAGTATGATTTGAATAATTAAGTTTTTTTTTTTTTTAATTTAGTACATCACGAGAAAAATGTGATTTTGGAGATATTATGCGATATACATTAGCAACATGTCGTTGGAAATGGGTTCATCGTTATGCAAAATTGGGAAAGTAAAGAAAAATATTAATATATTCAAATAAATATATATGTATAAAAAAAATTTTTTTTTTTTCTAATTTAGATTTGTTATTGATGGTTTTATTGTAATCACACAACTTGGCTTTTGTTGTGTCTACTTTGTATTTGTACCAGCTAGTATTAAACAAGTAATGATTGTTGATGGAGCTTTAATTGTAGTCTTGTAAAAATATTGAGCGATACAATTAATAAAAGTAAGGATATATGTTTTGTCAATATTCAACAATCGATAACTAACCATTTAAAAGAAATAGTTAGGCTACCTGAGTAGTTAAGTATTCTTTTATAAACAAGAGTTTTTCAATAAAATCAATATTATAGAATGAATTAATATTGTATCTTTTCTTATTAATCATACTTATAAATTATCATTGTTGAAAATCAATATAAATATTTTCTACAAAAAAAAAAAAAACAAGTCAATGTTAGTTGATATATGTGAATAGTATTCTATGTAATATATATTTTTGATAATGATGACGAGAAAATTTTTTTTTTTATGTTAAATGACAACAAGAATAAGCTATTCATTATTTGTTAATGTTTTTTGACAAGGTTAATGAGAGTAGAATGGCGAGAAATACTTAAAATGTGTCACTTTTCTTTTCTTAATATTCTTTCTTTTTATTATTATTGTTATTGTCTCTTTTTATATGAATAGTATTTCAAAAGGCTATTCAAATCTTTTCTTTTGTGTTTTACAACATATGTTTGTTAATTTATTTTATATTCAATTGTTTTCTTAAGATCATTTTTGGAAATTTCATAATAATAATTTCGAATATTACATAGTTAAAATAAATAGATGACGGAAACGAAGGACAGACTTATTTTTATGGACGATGACCTTATTTAAGCATAGGTAAAATATAGTATGTATTCTCATGAATAAGATCTGTTAGTTTCTCAATTGTAGAGAAATTTCATTGACAGATTTGCATTATAAAACAAATAAATTGTGATTTTAATTATGTTTAATCATAACAATCACGATCATGTGTGATAATTCGGCAAGATACTAACATTGATAATTTTATACCGATTTCTTTTTCAACAAAAAGAAAACATAGAGTGTTGATCAATTGAATTATTTACTTTAGTTACTTAGATGTTCATTAAAGAACATTATAGGCTATATAATTTCAAATTTATACATTTCACATAAATAACAACAGATTTATAAAGAAAAGTAATATCTTATATGTTTATTAAGCACTTGAATTAGTAAGTCTAGAAGTACTATTTTCGTTATTTGCACTTTAGGGCATCTCTATTTTTGTGCTCATTGCTAAGTCTGAAGTAGTATCTATCTATTGAGTATTCAAAAGTTTTCTTTAAACATTAGATAATCAAATTAACGAAAACTGTACATTAACTTGCGTTTTTTCTTGAAACCAAATTTTGAACAAAAACAATTGAAAACTTCCTCCCTATTCTTCGAGACGCTTCGATCAATGAGAATCAAATTCTTTATAAGACAACTAGGATTAGATGGGAGTGTATATGTTTTTGAAAGAATGTTCTGATGATTATTAGACGTTGCACTCTCTATGACTCATAGAATGAAGTATCGAAAAATTTTGAGCCTATAACAAATTTTGCTCTGCTAATCGAGATCTATCTACCATGAAAGTTTTAGTATTTTTGGTTGATCTATTATTAAGAAATCCAGAAAAGAAAGTTTTTCTTAATGAACATGTGTGTTGATATCAACATGTCCTTTTTCGACAACATCTCCATAATTTTTTGCATTCTAAATATGATGTATTGGTTTATGTAACACAAGATCATCGTTTATAAGGTGTTTCAATAGATTCAGTTTGAAAATCAATCTCAATTTGAATAAAAGAAATTAATTAAGTTAATATTGGCAAATAACAGTCACTATGTAGAAGTAAATATTTAATCAAGAAAAATAAAAAAAAAAAGAAACGTCACAGTGATATAGAAAAATCAAGATAAGACCAATGTCACATATGCATAAAGTCAGCCCTCACTTTTATCTGTTAATAGTAATCGTCTTTTAAAACAGGGTCGATTATAGCGAATCATGACCTCTATATGATCACAATCAAACATGTTTTATTTGATAGAAGAAAGCAAGGAAAAAAACAATTAAATCTGAAGGAAATTCAATGAACTTTGTCAGATTTGGTTATTGATCGCGAAATGTAGTTTAGTAGAAAAAATTGTAGCGCATCGAATGGTATATATATGAAATCAAGTTTTATAAAAATTTTGATTTGTTAAGCGTAAATACATTGGTTATGATCCTTGAAGAATATATATAGTACTCATAGATATTGTTTTTCCCAATGATGTTCTAAAAGTTTGCATCGTTCCTTTCTTCATACTTAAAAATAGTTTCTCTTCTTAAATGTCACTCATTTCTTGGCTATATGATATTCTATTGTGCTCAACTCTATGTCACAGAACAATTGAATACCAACGTAAGAACTTTCACAAATATTGCATGCTATCAAGCTCTATATGTTTTACACAGATCATCTTTCGAAAGAATAGGAATTCATTATCAAGTTGTATATTGACGATATTTTAACAATACTAAACAATTCTATTGAAAATTTTTATGTATCAATCATCAGCACAGCATCCTTTTCGGATTGATATAAATAACTGCTTTATTAAACGGAAAAACTTTAATTGGCCTCCGAATGCCCGGAGGAAAGTACAGGAATATAATTACAGGAAAGAAGTCTGTTATTTTTATTTATGCATGACGCTCTAGGGAAATTTATAAATATCTTATGTTTATTTCAAAAATGAATGTTTTTATATATCTGTATTTCTCTTCAAAATTTATAGATGCATGAAAATTTTTAATAGGATTATTGAGCATTGTTAAAATATCGTCAATATACTGGTTCTTTTATATAGATTATTTTAGTAGACAATCTTACACGTGGACGATAAGTTCCTGCTATTCTGAAAGATCTTATCTGTGAAATATATAGAGTTCAATGATATGCAATATTTGACACTATGCAAAATTGACAAGCATCTATAGCTGTATCAATCTGAGTTAAGAAATAAAATTTGCCTAAGTTTATCGTAGAACATCATGGAGACAGCAATGTCGATGAGAACTATATATATTCCTTAAGAACTATAGCAAGTGTATCAAAGCTGGGCAAGTACGAATCTTTTCGAGTACAAGTACGAGTACGCAAGATTTTCCGGAGGCTACCATGGAAAATTTAATTAGTAGATTTAGAAACGACGCATTGATTATGAAATCAACCCAGTATCATAATCATGAATCACAATGATCTTAGTATAGTTTTTAGGATGTGAACATGAATGCTATTGTGAATGTTTATGTAAGTATGGGCGTTGTTTTCACAGTCATCTATATTCTGCTTTAGTCATAATTTTACAATAGCAAATTTATTTCATTCACTGAAAAGAAATCATGCAGACAAATTGAAAGAATAACTCTATAACATACAGAGACAAGCTAGGTACCAATTACACACTATATAACTATTGAAAGAAGCTGAAAAAAAAAGAGTAAATCTCTTGTTATACCATGCTGTGATCTCTATGCATTTATTTGGATCCATAATGTACAGAACAAAAAGAAAAAAATGAGCTGTTCATTTCAGTCTACAAAAATAAAAACTACAACTTTTTCATGTATAATTTTGTTAAAATTCATACCTATCTAGGATTTTAACTACGAGTACTTTGAATATTTTGCCCAGTTCTGCAGTATATCGTTCTATAGCACATCAAAACTTAAGACAAACTTGACTTCTTATATATCATTCGATGCATTGCAAATTGCTCTACAGAACTAAATAGTATGGTATTATGGTTCAAGATAAGTCGCTAAATCCGATGACGTTCTTTCAACTTGAATTTGAAACCAAATGACTATAATTTTCGGATTATTTTTCGTTAGTTGTTAAAATTTCCTATTATGAATTTATTTGGTTTAATTTTTTATTGAAAATTTAACTTAGGTTGTCGATCATTATTTTCATCATAGTCCACCGATTCAAATCTATCAATTCATAATGCTTATACTTGTTATCGGTTTTTCTATGATTCGAAGTCTTAAAGTTCTTGCACCATTTTCACTTGCTGCTAATATAATGACTATTGGAGGTAAGAAAATCAAAAATAACAATGGAATTAATCAATTCAATATTTATATATATATATAGGATTATTTATAATAACGCAATATATTGTTCGAGATCATATACCACTTAATCAATTACCTCTTATCACATCCGCATCAGATTGGCCAGTATTTTTTGCATCTGCCATGTATGTATTTGAAGGCATTGCTTTAGTAAGTATTGAATATGAAATAATTGATAGAAAATAAGAAATTAATACTTAATTAGGTTTTACCAATTCGACAAAAAATGAAAGAACCTGAATCGTATGGTGGTTGGACTGGAATACTTAATATAGGTATTCTTCTTGTTACGATTATGTATTTTGTTATTGGCTTCTTTGGATATCTTCGATATGGATCGAAAGCACTTGGTTCGATAACTCTTAATTTACCAAATGATAATAAGTAAAAGTTTTTTTTTTAATCAATGAATTTATCGATTTTTTTTATAAACTTTCATATTTAATATAGATTATATCAATTTACTAAAATTATGTATGCTGTAGCAATATTTTTGACATATAATTTACAATTTTATGTTCCATTTTCACTTCTTTGGCCACGTCTTTGTCGAAAAATTCTTTATAAATACAGTGGACAAACAGTTAATAAATGGGAACATGCTTTTCGTATTGGGCTGATTTTTATTACTTGTAAGTAGACGTAGAAATTATAAGCTTTGAAAACCCTAATTAAAGAATAGGGCAACATTGTAACATCTTTACAACCTTTTACATTGAGAATACGATATCGTCTACAGTCAATAATACTGAACGTGTGATAACAACACAGGCCAAGATTAAAACAATCATTTACAGTAATACCTAATAGTGACCCTAAGAAATGACTTAACGATTGATTGATGACAGTAGTTTAAAGCTTTGATGATAATGTATCAAAAAAATAGTTTTTTTTTTTGAAAAAGGTGAGTTACTATTATGTTTGAAACTTTTTCAAAGGTTTCTCATGGTAAAGAATTCTGCAGAAATATGTGAGATAGAAAGCCTTTGAACAAGTGCATCAGTGCTTTGGATTTCTTTTCTTAGTGTTGTTCATCTAATTATGTAATTATTTTGACAGTGTTATCTCAAAAGAGATGTCTTCTGACATACGCATGTGTTCTCGACTCATTCCTAGGCTTCGTTCCTTTACTTTTATAACGTTTTACTCGTTATGGTCGATAATATGTAGTAGACTGCGTTTGTGGAGTTTCCTCTATCGTTTTACTCCTAAACAGAAACATTGATATTCAAGTAGGAATTTCATTTGAGGTTTTTCTCAGGCATTTTATATCCTGAAGAGTTCAGAAAGATTTCAAGTTGAGGAGAAAATTGTGCTTCAAAACTTAACAAAGTCAGACTTAAAAGAATTAGATTTGGTGGAGAAATCCGAAACATACGAAGATCTACTTTTTGACAATCGACATAGAGATAACTCGTGGAAAACTCAAAGTTTTAAACTGAAATTTTTACTGTAAGTTCTTTAGGCTCGAGTTCATATTTTCTGAAAATTTTAGCTAGATCGGTTGTTCTAACACAAATAGAAAGATTTCCAACAGAGAAGTCTTAAGAGGGATTACTTTTCCTGACCCAAAAAAAATGTCGAGATTTTTATTTCTAAAGATATTTTGAAGTATACTCTATCAAGTGCCGTATAAGGCCTTAAAAAGCTTGGTTTCGAAACCATTATCTTGAAAAAAAAGGCCTTTTTTTAAGGTGCCAATTCTGTGAGTTTATCTTATTTATGACTTCTATGAATATTTAGCTCTTTATATTCATATTTGATGTAAAGTAAATGATAATCTGTAATGATTGAAAATGAACACACGTGAAAAAAAAAATATAAAATTTTATTTTGTTTGGCGTTTTTGTCAAAACCAATTTTGACACAAAAACAAAATGTAGGTTTCCACTTTTTCCTCGCACACAGTGTGTCAAGTTGAGCTCAAATTGTTTTTATGAGTAATTATAAAGCAAATGTTTTTTCCATTACTTCCAGTATTTTTGAAGAACAAAAAATGCATACCTCGGTTTAATGCTAATGGCTATCAAAAATTTACAGCTCGAAAAAATGAAGTATAGACTTTTGCAGGGAGAGAAAGGGAACTCCTAGTTATTTTTGAATTTTGTAACTTCCATATCTTCCTGAAGAAAGCATGTGAGCATCTATTGCTTGAACAATCGAGATCTATCTAACATGAAATTATCATAATTTAACTTATCATTTCCTTCTTGAAATTTTAGTTATCATTGCTGCATTAATACCAAATCTTGGTCTTGTTATATCTCTAGGTAAATTATCTATGTCTATAAAAAAAATTGATTTCAAGGTGTAATTTTGTGAATTTAGTTGGTGCAGTTGCATCTACAGCATTATCAGTTATATTTCCTCCAATATGTGAATCGATAACATTTTGGCCTGATAGTCTTGGTCGTTATAAATGGCAATTAATATTAAATTTTCTGATAATTAGTTTTGGTCTTTATGTATTTATTGCTGGTACAACACTTAGTTTATCAAATATAGTTACTTGTATTCGTGATGGAGCTCAATGTAATGATTAATATACAATAATTAATTATAAATGTTTTATCATATCGAAATATTATTTATTCAATAAAGTGCAATAGATTATTTTTTTAATGTTGTTTTCGTGTGCGTGTGTATGTTTAAATATATCTTTGTTAACCCGTTGATGTAACAGTGAAATATTGTATTACTTAGTTATTAAAATTAAATCTCTTATTGTTCCTAATATATATATGTGTATGTATATTTTAGATATGAATAATTGGTTTACATCTACTCTTCAAACTGTTCGTGAACAAGTGAGCACAGAACAAAAAGAAAAAGTCTAATACAATATTATCTTCATCGATTATTGGTCTTTTTTTAGTCTATTAATGCTTTGGAATTCGTACGTAAAGATTTATCAGAATTTACAACAACAGTTAAAACTGATGCAGAAGGTTATTTAAATAAAATAAAACAACAACCTGTAAGAATTGTAGTTTTTTTTTGTTTCAGTAATGTATATGTTTTTTTTTTATTTAGGTTAGTGATCTTGGTATTAATCAATTTGTATCAAAATTTAGTAATTCTGTTACATCAGATAATAATAATAATAATGGAAAGTCTACAATTTCATCAGCACCATTTGATCGACTTCATGTGAGATATTTTAAAAGTCTTTTCGAAATTCTATCTGATTTTTTTTTTGTATAAATTTAATATTTTCTTAGGATTTTTGAGCTTACTACTTGATTTAACAAGAAATTCAAGATTGCGTTTTAATCTTTTATTAATAAAAAAAAAACTGTAGAACATTCATATACTTCTTCTTGCCTCTTTCGATTAAAATTGAAAAGAGATAGGTAATTATAAATCACATATGCTGCTTTTATTAAAAATACTAACAACAAAATTAGACAAGTTGACGGTACATCCGTTTTCGTGAGTCGAAACTTTTGGTTCGGTTATTTTTATTAGTCTGAGTAAAGATATCTTTATGTAAAGTGTAGAATTACGCCCTTGTTCTCTCGGCATACTTAATCTGGCCGAACTGCAAGTTTAGCTACAGATACGAAACATTGTTTATAGTGAGTATAGGCTTTTATTCATTTATAACTATCGAATAATATTTAGCTTCATACTATGCAGACCAGTGGGCTCCTATGAGACTAGAAAAACTTCAAAAATAATTCAATTTCATAGCCACTTGATGAATAGTTATGACCTTTTCCTTTGTTGATCAAAGCTATAGTAATTACTTACAGTCAACATAGTACATTTCAGAAAAGCATATCATTTTTAACAAATTTCCATCATATATACCATATTGGCTGGTTGAAACCCGATCAGGCAATTAATAAAATCTTGACGTTTCAAAATATTTTTACATTTTCAAACGGCTATTTATATAAAAGCATATGGATGAAAAGGGATATTGTTTTACACATAGAATTCATCTATAGATGATGAGGAACCATATGACAAAGTAGTTGAATAGATCGAAAAGAAAATGAATTATGAAAAAAGCATGAATATTTGTATCTATACAATTTTGAGATGATTTGAGTTTTATTTTTCGTTGCTGTTTATGAAAGAAACTAAATAGTATACTTTGTCATATAAAATAAAAGTTTGAAAATTGCACTATGACTGTGAAAGTATTTGCTGGATATCGATTAGCTCCAGCTAAGTACTGAATTAAGTTTGAGCTCGAATAATAAAAAAGTGCCGGTCTGAGTTTGACGGCGAACAGTAGTATCTGTGCGGAACACTAGACTTGCCTGAGAAAAAAATAGCATTAAATTACTAATAAATTGATTAGCTTGCAAAGCATTTTTTAGAATGACTGATGCCAATCAAAACCTAGCTATGATATAAATAAAAGCTATTCAAGTTCTTAAAGCTATGATAATAGCTTTAATAAACATGCGAATCTTCGAGTATCTATATAAATTAATTACATTAAAATATATTTTACTTTAGAATGAACGAATTCGAATACAAAATGATGAATCAACCTATTTAATAGATCCAACACCAATTGACTCTTATCAAAGTTGGCGTGAAAAGACTGATTTTAATATTGATAAACGTAAAGGTGAAATAGCACAATTATTAATTGATGTTCCACATATACGTTCATTTTATGCACGTTTTGTACCTGCATGTACAACCCATAATGATTTTTGGTGTCGTTATTATTATCATTTATATAAACTTGATGAAGATGAAACACGACGATTAAATTTATTAAAACGTGCACATGAAATATGTAATGATAATAATGAAAATGATTGGGATGAACCTAGTAAAAACTATACAAATAAATAAATAAAACTTTAATAACATGAAAAAAAAATTTTTTTCTATTCTTTTTATAGATGACGAATCGAAGTCAGCAATCTTAACGTGCGAAACAAAAGAAAATGATACACGTATTAAAATCTATTAGAAAAAAAGGGAAACAAGTATTATAATTGTATTATTTGTCTAATTTTAGGTGATAATTGGGATCGAGAGTTTGATGAAACAAATCTTGCTACATCTGATATTAATACAATTCAATCAAATCAATGTAATGAAACGATGCCATTTGAAAATTCAACATCGCTGGTAACAACAACATCGAAAAAAATAGATAATGAATTTGATGATGAATGGGAAACATGGTCTTAATTATTTCTTTTTATTGTATATAATAAATCTTGCCTTCTTCTAATCATTACATAAGTTAAAAGAAATTTAGCATTTTGAAATCAATTATGTGAAAGATTTTTGTTCATGGTGTTTATTTACTTTTTAATGAAATAAACATAAGTCTACAATGCTCAAAAGAATGTAAATGACATCGATAAACAGAAAGATAGATTCATGACTCAGAAATCGGCAACGAGTAAATTCAAGCAAACCTCGCGATTTCACAAAATTCTTTTTCAATATATGACAGAAGAATGTATTCATCTTTACTGTTCGAACTGTGTTGGAAACCATGAGATTCGAACTAAAATGACAATTCAATAGAATTCTATTCTTTTTTTCTTTCGTTTAATTTTTCTCAATCTATGTTTACGATGCATTTAAGGCTTATGCGGAATTTGCTGAAAGGTGGACATTGCCCTTTGTGTCTGTTGGATTAGTTCGATAATGGGAAGTTTTTACTGATCGGGCTGAAAACACTTATATCGATGATTCCGTCACCAGGATCCGTAGATTTTCGATGGAACTCCACGAGTAGTCTTTGAACTATAGTTTTTCTAAAGCGAGGGAAAACAGCAGGCTTCAAGATTTCATTTGGCTTTTAAACTATAGTTTCTACTGTTTCTCTCTCGACCTAAAAGGAGTGTTGAAATACGAGGTAAAAATTGGAATCCTAGCTTTCCCCACAAACGTGATAGATATCCTTAGCAACGTCTCTCCTTCATCACAGACTTATGTCAATGATGTCTCATTAGAATATTTGAACTACTTCCTTATCGTATTTCTTGAGGATTAAATAATAGGATCGTGAAGAAATGTGTATCAAAATGGACAAGCAACTTTTAACGTATGCTGAAGTTTCATAAAGTCTTTTCAGGTCTGGTATTTTTGTTTTGGGAATCTGCCAAAATAACGTCGTTTCTGATGGATAAATAGTAGGAACTTGGAAAGCAGGAATCCAATGGTTGGCTAGGATTCGTTTAAATCCAATCTGAACACTAGATTCTAGCCGCAATCGACCGTACTTTACTCATGTAGGTAGAATACCGATGATAGGAAGTCTTGATATACTTGTTTGAATAAACTGTAAACCTTAATTAGGAATTTCATTGTCATCCAGCTTTTATTTGATAAATACTCTACGATATTTATATCATGTTTTTTCTTTTGAACTTTTTTCTTGTTTCTGTCAAATTTCTTTGAAACTATCATACTGAACATGTTTGTAATTATTTTTTTTCATATTTTTTGTTTCCAATTGCCATCGAAGTCGATGCAGAGAGAAATACACAGACTATTATTGATTTGTTAATTCATGAAGGTAATCAACAGAAATCATAGAATAACTTGTTGACATCAAATGTATGAAAAATGTTTTCGTGACGATTAAATAAAAAACCAATCGAATGTGATAAAATTTCTATCGTTAATAGAAGTGCATTAGTTAAATTACAGACTACTCAGTTATTCTTATAGCAGAACAAAAGATAATATGATAACAACTGTATTTTTTCTAATTTATACAAAATAAAAGACTCTGCATTAAACAAGATCGATTCGCTTGTGAAAGCGTTCCATCCTAAGATTTCTTAGTTTATCCATATTTGACTAGATCTTCCAACAGTTTGCTTCTTCATATTCGATTTAGTTTCTGTCTTCATGATTATCGACGTAAACTAGAAAAATATTCATAAGAGTGTTATAATTCGTCATCTATATTAGTTACTTTTTAGTAAGAGTTCTTCGGTTTCAAAAATAGAAATAAAACGCGCTACTGGTCATATCCAATTAATCATAAACTAACGACGCAATCTCTTCAGACGCTTCTTCTCGATTTCAATGATTTTTATGCCTATAAATATTACATCCTGTGCTAATAAAAATCCTAAAAAGGCTTCTGTTTAAGTAAGCTACCGAATTTCTTTCTTGAGATTTCAAATTTCCGGAAAACTCATACTTTCGAACTTTGATCTGAAATTATGCGCATATTAAAAACTGGGATAGATTAGCTTTCATAAAAAAAATTCACAAGCTTTGAACAAAGTTTCTTCTAGACATAAAACTTTGAAGGTATAGATCGCTGTTCGTGGACGGTGTATACTACATGTATTTTTTGAAAATTTCATATCTCGAAGAGACTTTCTTCAAAACTTCTAAATTTTTCTATGAAAGTAGTTAGTCTAGTTGAGTTCTCTATATGCGTAAAGTTTCAGATAAAAATTCAAAAATCTGAAACTTCTAGAAAAAAAATCGAGTAGTTTAGTCAAAACAAAATCCTTTTTTGGTTGTTAAAGGATTGATTTATAGTCATTTTAAAGAGTGTACTTTGCTGTAATTCTCTCTATTAAAACAGTTTTACAAGAGCATTTATTGTATAGAATGAGTCAAGGCCTCACAATCATCCTTTTATGAGGAATATATCAAAAACTGTCCTTCTATAAGATCGTTTGTAACCTGACATAGAATTTTTTTAGTTTTTACTCTTAGACAGTCAAAATATATTTATATTTTCCAAAACGTCTATTTGGCATGTTCTATATAAATAGGTAATATTGTTAAATGTTACAAGTCAACATTAATAATGACTTAGAACGGAAAAGAAAAATATTTATTGACGCAAAAGTGCAAAGATAAAGTTCGCCATAGATAAACTATATTACATTATAAAAAATAATGAACACGAAACTTTCTGTTATATAAAATTGACTTACATAAAACTATCGTTTCGTTGAATATTGTTCAAAATGCTTATTTTTATGATTCTGTTGGAATTTAGTTCTAATTTAAGTGTATAAGAACTTAACGTACACAAAAAAGTGTTCGATGTTATTTTTTGAAAATCTATTAAAAAATTATTTTATTATTATTCAAAAAATAATACATTCGATCAAGTTTACCACGAATGCATCAATTTAATCAGAGCGTGTCTTTTTTAATGCAATCGAAATGTTCAAGGTACTTTCAATTAACAATAAAGACGCAATATCTATTAGAGATATCGTTTATCAAATACTCAATCGATGTCTATTTTTGAGATAACAAAACACATCAAGCAAAGGAAACAAATCATTATTCGGCTTTTATATTCTTTCATTTACTTCTATTTTTCTTACTTCATTTCCTATGACAAGAAAACGAGAATAAAAAAGACAGCATTACTCATCCGGTTTTAGAACTCATTATATATATATAAATGCATATGTGATTTACTATTTAGTAGAAATCACCCATGAACTACAATAACAATAATGAATTCTTCATGTTATATTACTGCTGATTCCAATATAATTTTAGTATTTTTTATAATTGGTTTCTTTTTATCAATAATTGGTTGTATACTTAATCTTTGTTCATGTTTACTTTTTATTCGTACAAAATCTCTTTTTAACACACCTTATGCTATATTTATAATAGCTTTATCAATAATTGATATTATTAAAATTATAGCGGAATATTTTATTCATTTATTATTTGTTTATATTCAACATCCATATTTTGTTTGTTCAATAACATGGTTTTTAACAATGACTAGTGAAAATATCTCATATGCATTTCTTGGTGCATTAGGTAACGTATGACAAAAATTATCATTTAATTCAGAATAATTAATAATTTTGTTAAAGAAGAAAATTGAGTTTCTAATTTCTGAGCTTAATGACTTCGCAGAAATGAGTAATTCGATTGGTATTTTATCGAGCATCGGAGTCCAGGGCAATATTCCTTTTCATGACTTCATATATACCGCATCGTTACTATACGTTGGTCTTTCTCCGTAGAAATACATGTTCTGTCTCTTGCAGTTTTGAATCGACTACCTGACAAAGGAAAAGCTGAATGAAAGACTGAATTCGATGCACACTGAATCAAGACAGCATGAAGTTTCTCCACTACGAGTGTAGAAGATATTAAACAATAGGAGATCTCAAAAATAATCAAATATCGACGAAAAACCACCATTGATTTATAATCATCGATTTTCGTTACTCTCATCGAAATTCAGCGATAGAATTAAATAATAAAAAAGGCATTTTTGTATATATATGACCTACGTCATAAAATGCCGGTTGGACATTTTTTTAATCTATTAACCTATTAAACGAAGATTCTTTGCTAATAAACTTCTGCTTTAAAAAAACTTTACTTATTTATCAACAAATTATTATCCTTTCATGTATTTATCATATTTTTTAAGTTGTTGTTTGTTCGACAGAATAAATCATTGCACTAGGAGATAAGTGTCACAATGATGGGAGAAAAATCTCTAAAAATTTTAATGTATATAGCTTTTATTTCAAATATCTCCTGACATTTCATTTTTTTTCTTCTAGGTATTGAACGTAATTTAAAAGTATGGACAATAGATCGTCGTTGGTTAATAACTCGACAACGTGCTTGTTTAATAACATTATTCATAATTTTATTTATTATTATTTATAATCATCCATTTCTTTTCTGGCCATTGGATGCATCGTATTGTTATTTTCTATTATTTAATCATTCAACTGTGTATACATGTAATAATGCATATTATCATGCATATGGTTCTTCATTTTCATTAACTGACCTTTTACTTATTGAAAATATAGGTTTAAATAATGTAATTTTACCATTAATTATTATTTCAACAAATATTGTTTTAGTTATTGGTTTAAGACGTCGAAATTATCAACGACGTCGTCATTTAGGTACAAATAGAACTAGTGATTGGAGAGAACGTAGTATTCTCATTTATATGCTATTGTCAAGTATAGTTTTTGTTGTATTAACGTTACCTGTTGGAATATTGTTTGCTTGGAGAATAACACTTGGTGAACAAATACCAACAAATAATCTAGTACTTATATGTGATCTAATGGAAATAGTTCATCATTGTTCACATTTTCCAATTTTATTAATGACAAGTTCAAGAATTCGTCGAAAAGTTTGTCAACGTCATAAACTAGGACAAACTATATCATTGGGAAGCCAATCATTTCGAT